AGAGACGATTTTTTAATTAGCGGGCGAATTAATGGGGAAGCGCTCTGCGCCGAGAAACCATTGAGTTTTTCATAGCGCCGCAAAGTTCGTCGCAGTTTTTATTTTTTCATTACAGAGAGTAAGGGATGAAACGGGGGTTGATGGATGGGGAATTTAATTCTCCATCGAACAGCATTGGTTTCATTCCTTAATGTTAATTAGGAGCAGAGATACGATTTTTTAATTAGCCGGCGAATTAATGGGGAAGCGCTCTGCGCCGAGAAACCATTGAGTTTTTCATAGCGCCGCAACGTTCGTCGCAGTTTTTATTTTTTTATTACAGAGATTAAGGAATGAAAAGGCGGTTGAAGCATGGGGAATTTAATTCTCCATCGAACAGCATTGGTTTCATTCCTTAATGTTAATTAGGAGCAGAGATACGATTTTTTAATTAGCGGGCGAATTGTCGGGAGTCATTACGCCGAGAAACCATTAGGTTTTTCATAGCGCCGCGACTTTCGTCGCAGTTTTTATTTTTTTATTACAGAGATTAAGAGATGAAACGGGGGTTGAAGGATGGGGAATTTAATTCTCCATCGAACAGCATTGGTTTCATTCCTTAATGTTAATTAGGAGCAGAGATACGATTTTTTAATTAGCGGGCGAATTGTCGGGAGTAACTGCGCCGAGAAACCATTGAGTTTTTCATAGCGCCGCGACTTTCGTCGCAATATTAATTTTCTTATTACAGAGATTAAGGAATAAAACGGGGGTTGAAGGATGGGGAATTTAATTCTCCATCGAACAGCGTTGGTTTCATTCCTTATTGTTAATTAGGAGGGGAGAGACGATTTTTTAATTAGCGGGCGAATTATTGGGGAGTCACTCTGCGCCGAGAAAACATTGGGTTTCTTATAGCGCCGTGACTTTCGTCGCAATATTAATTTTTTTATTGCAGAGATTAAGGGATGAAACGGGGGTTGATGGATGGGGAATTTAATTCTCCATTGAACAGTCTTTGTTTCATCCCTTAATATTAATTTTTCGGCGAATGAATCAACTGAAAAACATAAAGTAAACATTGAGTACAAGGAGGACAAAAATACCCCTCCCAACCTGTCCCTGTCACAGCGGGACTGCTATTGCCGAGGTACTCACGCACCCGACTCACATTTACCGACAATTCGACCGGGACGCCGCCTTTTCCGTGGGGTACCAACTAACATTTTTGGAGTCAGTCAAACCCCCCGATCCGGGCCTCTACACAGGTCTATCCCTCTTTGCTTGTAACGTTGGCCCCTTGTGACGTATGACCGTTGCGACGTTCGACCCTCACAGGGCACGATCCTTGTGAGATATGACCTGCATCACAGCTGATTCTTGTGAGGCATAATCTTTGCGAGATATGACCCTCATGACGTTTGAGGCTTTCTAGGTATGAACCTCGTGACGTTTGATCCCTGCAAGGTATGACCCTCGTGAGGTTTGACCCTCGCAAGGTAAAATCCCCGTGAAATTCAGTCACGAGGGTTACTGCATGGATAGTCGGGTTAAGTGGTTTTCTACCAGTTATTTACCTTTTTTACCATTTAGCGGTACATTGCCAGTATTGTACTATGTACCGTCGAAAACTCCGATTTTCAGTGAATAATCCAACCCTCATAATAGGTGTTGATTAGAGAATCTCCTCAACTTGTCAACGCAAAAAAAAACGAAGAATATCGGGGAACACTCTCAAATGACCATTTGAAACTTTCTTTTTGAGTTTTCTATGCCAAAATACATACATAAAAAACTTTAAAAAAAAATTGAAAATTTCCGTCACAAAGTCTATCGAATCAAATTTTGTTGCCAAAATTTGATGGTATTTATACCAGGTCGATTGGTGTTTATAGCGGCTCGTAATTAGAATTGAAAAAAAAGTTTCGAGAAGAACAAAAAAAAATAATCTTCAATATCGTCGCCAATAACTGGGTAGAGAACTATGGTTGCGCTTATTTTTCTTGTTGCGGACGATACTATTTGATAAAGAAATACAAAGAAACTTTAACAATCGGAAGGAAATTTTTTATATATACAGAATAAGCGAATTCGCTCATTCATAGATGGTACAATTAGTGATATTCAAGTACTAATATAGTAGTATTCTCAGGAACTCGAGAAAATTTCACATTCAAATTATTGTTTTTGTCCGATTCAATTACTTAATAATTTTCTCTAAAACATTTTAATCTTCAAAATGGTTTCTGTTCTTCATGTTTTTTTCATTTTCTTTCATACAGGAGACGATTCGTTGAAGCTACAGCTATCTTTTATTTATTTTTTCAGACTACTGGAAGGCCAAAGTTGAAGAAAATATTCCCTGGCTTGAATCCGAAGAGCAATACCGTGTAACCTGTCCATGAACAATCCATCTCTCTCATCTTTGCACCCAATATATTTTAAACAGAATTTTATACAAGAATCACAACGGTGCTTTTTCAAATATATCTTAACATTTTCAATTCAATCCTTTCAAAATGTGTTTCCATATAATCTTCAATCATCACTACAATTTAAATAAACGTACATTTAAGTCATGGGCAAGTAGAAGTGTCCTAAGCTACCACCTAATTTCTATCTTATAATTATAAAAAAATACTAATTACAGTTCTCTTTCATATCTTTTGTGAAGAGTTACACCACGAGTACTGAAAAATCATGAAAAATAATAACGAAGGATCAACTGAGTCACAGACCAATTGTCCTGAGCAATTAACTTTCCACTCAAAACTTATCCATTAGTAAATTAATAAAACAATTCAATTGCATGCAACATATTTGCATAATTATGGGAGTGCCTCGTTGACAAGGAACTGTAAGAAAAATTATCGATAGACTTTTCCAATAAATAGATGTTCCTCGTCTTAGAAAAAACTTTTCGAAAATTTTGTTCTGAAGCCAGTCATTCTTGAAATAACTGGATAATTAACAAAGATTGCAGATTTCTTAGCGAGAAAGGGTGGAATTGAGATTCTGCAAAATGATCTTTTTTCTTTCTATGATTATCCAAATATTGACAGAATAAATTTAGAATTTTGATTTTCTGTGAAAATTTACATAAATTGTAGAGCGAAAAATGTCATTTTGCAATGTGTTTTCTAGTGGAAATTGTTCTATTTCATGAAATAGGTTTTATCCTCCACTTCCAACTTTACACTGTGATCTAAGGTTTGACTTAATCGTTTTTACCATTTTACAATTGAATTAAACACCTAATTTATCTCGTGCAATATCAAATTCCTCGAGAAACAATCTATATAATATTAAATACCGATAATTTGAATATTACACGGGATATTCGAAGAAACATCGCTTTGAATAATTCAAAAATGTCGCAATGAATAAAAAAGGAACTTTAATTTATGTTCACTAGTTTCCAAAATAATAAATGACATATATGTAACAAAAAAGCTACTTGATGATGATGATCAATCAAAAACCTCATAAAAATCATTTCCGAATAGAAAATTTCATCTGAGCAATTACTACAATGAACGTCAAATGACATTAAAAATTCATTACGAAATCTCAGGGTCTTCTGTACAGTTTTGAGGTATTATAAGCTCAATTAATTCAATTTACCAAATGATAATCATGATAATTAACAGTGTTTCTCATTAACGATTCCTACATAATTAACTTTTAACAAGGTATATCATATTATTTTGGTAATGAATCCTGAGCTTAAAATTAACTAGCGACCTCAAGAGACGTTCAAAATTCATCCTTGACTCTTCAACTTGAAGCACCAACTGTCATTATATAAAATTACGAAGTGCCCAGATTCCGCCTGAGGAATGTTTCATTGAGGATTTGCACTCCTCAATTTGAGTATCCGATTTGCCCCTATTTTTGTTTTCCATTTTGTTTTTTTTGTATAATAAAAATAAATTCTGTACATGGACAATTGAGGTCCAGTGGAATTTGGGCTTTGCCCTTATCCTCGTTTGAATTTCAGAACCAGCATGCTTATCGTTAGAAACACAGCGATCCAGATAATGGTGGAGATGAAACCGTTGTAAACATCGGGTTCGTTGATCGTCCAACCCCGAGTGAGCATCGATCGGAGGGAAGTTGTTGCCATTGTTAGGGGAAGACCTTGGGAAATGTAGCGGAGGACTGTGGGCATACCTTCCACTGGCCAGATGACACCTGAAAATTATTCAATTAAATGATTTACTAATGTTATTCCAATTTTTTTTTCTTTCAAATTTTCTTCTATATAAAAAGGGGTCGTGGAATTCGCGATCGCAACGTAAATGTGGGAGCTATCAAGGGGTCTCTACACTAACTACTCTTGGTGGGCAACCAATGAGATCACTGGGTTCTCCTTGATCTCATTGGTTGAGTTCCATAATTGGTATCCTCCTAGGGATCTCATTGGTTGCACCGCAAGTATAGTTAGTTTAGAGACCACTTGGTGGCTCCCACATCTACGTTGCGATTACGAATGCTTGTTCACCGAACAAAATTTCCGGGAAAAAATTTTCCCTGTCCGAAATTTTTCGAACGAAATTTCCAAAACAAAAATTCTTTGACTGGTAAAAATGATGAAAATATTTCGGAATAATAAAAAAAATGTCTTACCCTGGAGAAGAAAAAAAATAATAAAAATTTTTGAAGTGAAATTTCAAAAAATAATTTTGATTGAGTGTTATGAGGTCAAATATTCCTCTTACACTATATTAATATTTTTCTCTTTTCACGAGTGATTCTTTTTTCGTTGTCTATTGTTTTTTTGGAGAATAAAAACAAGTGATTTTTTTTGTTCAAATTTCTATGAAAAAAGTGACATGGAAATGGTTGGATGTATCCGTGTCAGTTTTTGTTTGTTTTTGTTGAATTTCATACAAAAAATTTTATCCAAGGAGAATGTGTCCTAAAATCTATGAAAGGTCTCCTGACCATATATTTTCCAAACTATTGATAAGAAATATAATCGCTAATTTTCCTGATTGAATAAACAAATGATTTTTCACATACCACTGAGCAAAAGTGTAGGATAGAAGCTGCCCAAAGCGAGCTGAATGGCATTCCTCTCGAGTTCGCAAATAGCAGATATCACGAAACCTGTAAAGCAAAATGCAGAGAAATTAATTCATTTCACCACTCCTACAAATCTCACTAAAATGAATGAATTCTAGTAATTGAAACCTAGTTCATGCAGACTTTGCACAAGCGCTTTTCGCACCTGAGTCTAATGTATTTTTTTCTCTTTTTTATTGCAACGATTCCCTCTGCATATGCTTAAAAAATCTAAATAATGTTTCAGTAAAATTTCGTGAGTGTATAAAAAACTACACTTGGCCTTTGAATTTAATTGCAACATTTAAAGGTCTAATGTCATTTTTTCCACTTTTTTTTCTCAACTTTGTAGTTGCGGTAATTTGATTGATAATAGAGTAACTATTACCGAAGCACATGCCGCAAAGACCCTGGAGAATCGTGAGCAGAATAACCCAACCGATGTCACCATTACACTGTACTCCAAACACTAGAATCATAAAGATAAGCACCAAAGCTGTCTGACCGCACATGACGATGAACTGCGTGATTACGTGGGAGAAAAGAATTTCTCCTGGCGAAACACCTGCCACCCAGCTCCTGTCCAGTAAACCCTCCATTCGTTCGATGATCAGGGCAGAGGAGGTGAGAGCAACGGCTAGGAAGAAGACGATTCTGAAATGTGAAATTTGTATTAAGGAAATTTTACTTTTTTAACTTTCTCATTTGTATCGGATAGTCATAATGGCCTCGAAAATCGAAATCGGAAATTTCATGATATCTTCACGTTTCATGATCTCTAGTCATTTTCTATGAAGTTTTCATGAGGATGTCGTGTGACTGTGTGAACGAAGAACTTTGCCCAACAATTTCTCTGGATCGAACGGTTTGATTTAATTTTTCTTCACGTAATCGATGCGTTTGCAGGTAACTTAGAGCTGATTAGATTCTGAACAACATTCTTTGAGCGCTTTTCTAGATTTTTCAATGCAACTGATAAGAAAATTTCAAAAAATGACGTTTTTTTTTTTAAATTCCATGATTTCTCCTGGTGAACCAATAGAATTGATTTGGTTTCGTTATAATCGATGCGGTTTTGTATAACTAAAACTGGAGTGAAATTACAGTAGAACCCTGTTATAAGAGCGCGCCTGGGGGTGTAGGGGTAGCCGATTCGGCGGAAGCGCTTATATTTCGTTACCCCCACCATGCGCTCAGTGGCAACCTTAGTTCTCGGAACTCCCAGCGAAAAGAGAGGAATAAGAAATAAACAGTTTGAGTATTTTTCAAGTTCTATATACAGATATTTTCGTTAAATAATTTTTTATTATTTACTGAATTTTTACCCCCTCTACTGGGTTCCCACTTCGTCGTAGTGAGGGGGCTCGGGCGCGGGCGGTGGAGGTCTTAAGGACTACCGCTGCCCGCGATTGCTAAGAGGAGTCCACCCAATCCATGTGTGTGAGCGGCGTAAGCCATGGCCTCGGCCATACCGTGCCTAAGGATGCGAAACCTCAGAAATCTGAGCGACCTCTGAGAGTAGTCTTGGGTGTAACCCACCCGAGACAAGCCAAGCCCTGGGCAATCGCGGCAATGCACCAGGTGAAAACGCTTAACCGCGGTACTCGTGGGACTGAAATGGAAACCAATCTAAAAAATCTTAATATTGAAAAAGCAACTTCGGGTGGGGCCAGCGATGGCGAACACACGAAGTCTGACAAGGCTGACCAGTCTGGTACCGATGTGAATCGGGTCAGACTGAGTGGAGCCGAGAGAAGACGTCGCAAGAGAGCGAAGCTGCATCAAACCTCGGGGGCGATTGCAACCTTGACGGATGCAGCAGCGAAGGTCGATGAGGGAAGGGGGGAGGGGGCTACGAGGAAGGCAATAAAACGCCTTCCATCAGAGCGTACTACGCCAAGCCCCTCAGTCAGACCGAAAGAAAAGAGAATGAGAACGCAGGATCAGGGCACATATGCTCAGAACACTACGAGCTCATTCAAGTTTGCAGTTATGCCGGAGTCATATCCGGATCAGAAACT